TGGGCGGGGTTCGAGCGCGTCGTTGTCGTCGTCGTAGTCCTGGCGCGAGACGGCTGTCCAGGTCTTGATCTGCTGAAGCACAAAGGCCAGGTTAGGGTGGGCGGAAGCCATGCTGTCCAGCTCCTGGCCGAGCGCCTGGAGGCTCAGCCGTGATTCTTCGTCAATGGCCTTTTGTTCCGACGTCTGGAGCCTCTCGGGGATCGTCGACGACGTGTCGCGTTTTGTCAGGCTCGCAGCAAATCCGTCCAGTCGGTTCTGGAGGGTCTGGACGACTTGGGAGTGATCGGTGGTCGCGAGCTTGCCGTGAACCTCGACGAGCTGGACACCAAATCGGAGGACCGGCACGATCCAGTCGACCGCCTTCAGCAGGTTCGAAGATTGTCTCTGAACCGTGAGAGACTTGTCTCCCCAGTACGTGCTCAGCTGGCGGACCGAGCCGATGGCCTCCCTGAGCGGACCGACAGAGGTGCTGGCCGGCACGAGGGATGCCCTTTGCTGTAGAAGCAGCTGCACGAAGCCCTCCATGAAACCAACGCTGCGCGTGACCTCAGCGCCCGTGAGCTCGCTGTGGTGGTCAAGGCCAGCCGGCCTGACCTTGGCCGCGATGTCAATGGCCTTCTGGAAGTAGTACTCGGCGGCGTCCTGGCCCTCGCTCTCGCAAACATAGGCGCGCGTGCTGCCGAGAACGGTGGCCGTCGTCTTTTGCCTGTTGAGATCCTCGGTGCCGAGGTTGTGCCTGACACCCATCTTGCGCATGGCCTTGAGAACATCGGCAAACAGGTTACGCTTGCGCGTCTTGAGGTGCTTGACCTGGTCCTTGTTCTCGTCGTTGAGGAACTGCGGCGTCTCCTTGCGTAGTTCGGCAATCGAAGCCTTGAGCGACTCGACGAAGGCAACGGCTTCTTGGCTGGCGGCCGTTGTGCCTGAGCTGTACTTGGTGACGTTGGCCATGACCGACAGCGTCGTGTCAATGTTGATCAGTCGCTTGTTCTGCTTCAGCCACTGGGGCGCGGCCTTCTTGCACCGCGTCAGCGCCTTCTTGTCCACGCTCGGGGTGACGATGATCGAAGCGGCGCCGCTGTCAGTGACGGGCTCCTTGTCTGGCAGACCCTGTTCGATGACGGGGGCAGCTGGCTGGCCGAGCACGGAACGGAACTTGCGGACAAGCCTGAAGAGGCTGCGGTGAGACTTGCGGGCGCTCTCGCGGAGTGCGTTGATGTTGGTGTCTTTCCAGCTCGCCATCAACACGGTGTTCTTGACGTTCTTCTCAATCGGAGTCCTGCCGCGGCCAATGGCCTCGTCGATGACGGCCTCGAACCGGGAGTAGAATGTGATAAAATTCTGCGTCGCGTCACGAACAACGGCGAGAGAGGGATAGTCAACGGTCAGTAGCTCGAGGTGCTTCTGCATCTGGCGCAGAAGCGCCAGGCGCCCGCTGAATTGTCCGACGATGGAAGTCGAGAAGTAGTTGCCCAGCTCCTTGACCAAGCTGACGGCGTACTCTTGCAGCTCGTCGGCCTTGTCTACGAGAGTGAGCGGCACCGCAATCACCACCTGGTATGCCATGAAAAACCACGAGTTGGCGTCGTCGCGGCACTTTTGCGCTTCCAGGTCGAACAGCCTGGCCCAGGTCTTGAGCTCCTCGCGGCGCCAGCTGATGATCATGTCGGTCAGTGCCGTGTACAGAGCCGGGGCTCCGTAGATGGCTGGCGCATAACCGCCATGCTGCCACTCGTAAACAATCATGTGCAGGTGTTCGAGCTTGGGTAGGATGCTCGCGAGCGGTTCGGTATGGACGAGGCTGAGCAGCGTCTCGCATGCCGTCAAAACATCAGCGAGAGGCTGCATGAAGCCAATCTCGTCAACCTGCTGGAGCTCATGGAAGCGGAGCTCGACCTTGTTGACGAGCGAGATCAGCTGTCGAACCATGGGCAGGTTGGCGTCGGAGTAGAAGTTGTAGTTGTCAGTCTGCACGCTGACGTTCAGAGCGCTCAACTCCTCGTACAGGGACCACATGGCAGAAGGCAGCATCTTCTGGTTCAGATCCTGACCCACGGCCGCCCTCTGTGAGGCCTCGAGAGCGAGCTCGTGGCTGATGGCAGCGCACGCCTTGCGGAGGCTCTCGGACGCCTCTTCCGGTTGTGAGAATATGTTGCGGTGGAGCTCAGCCATCTTGACGGACAAGTCGCGGACTTTTTGACGCTGAACAGCCGGTTTCTTGTCTTCCTCGTCATCAAAGGTCGGGAACAGTTCGTTGAACTCTTCTTCGTCTTGTTCCTCTTCGTCCTCAAAGCTGCCTCGGAATTTGTACAGGCTGGTGTTATCCTGCTCAGTCTTGCGGTCGGCCTCGAGCTTCTTGTTCCAATCGTCAAAGAAGCCATGTATTGAACTGAACAGAGCTTGACGGCCCGGCGCATCGAGGCGTGGCAGGCCCTCGACAGACACGACGAGACCCATGTAATTGAGGAAGTTGAGGCTTCGAGTCGGTAGTGAGGTCGCGTTCGACGTAGGCAGTGTGCCTCCCAGGAAAGGAAGCACGCCCATGAAGGGGGCTGTTGGCAGCTGGTCCTGAAGAGAGTCGAGACCCCTGTTGAGTGACAATCCAAGCTGGAGGCAGTGCAGGATATTCACAGCGGGCAGAACCATATCCTGGTAAGCATCGAACCTGCTCGACAGACGATCGATCAGTTGGCCGACATTCAACCTGACCAGATCCATCTCCTCATTCAATCCAGTCGTATCTGTCAGGGTGTGGGTAACATGGGTGGAGGCCACGTCCATGTCGACAACGGACTTCAGAATGTTGTTGAAGTCCGCCTGGATACCGCCGAGTTCAGACTTGGCTGGGCGGTAGAGGATCTGGCTTGCTGGCGGGGCGGCTCCGAGGGCCTCAATCTCCTCCTGTACCAGCTGGGCGCGCAGGGAGGTCTTTTGTCCGGTGAAATGTGTCTCAAACTCTAGAAGAGAGGCAAGTCTGTTATCCAAGGCTGCCTTGGTGTGGTCGTGAACCTCCATCTCGTACTGAGGCCTCAGCTGTGGGTCGAAAGCCTTGTCCGGAACGTAGAGCTTGATGCATCCGACGGAGAACTGTACCCAAGCCACAGAAGAGAACGCAACCACAAGTCGATCTCCAGCCGTGTTTGCGCTGTCCATGTGGGCAGCATGCTTGTCAGAAGCAGCCAGTGCGACTATAGACGGGAGTAGGTGGTCTTTGAAGACAGCGACAAGCTGCGCAGGCCACTCCTCGGGGAATGCAACGCGAATCTTGAGCACCATGGCCTTGAGCTGTTCTGGCGTCGTGGCAGTCAGATCGCCATTGCTGTAAGCGCGGGTGAAGACGTTGTCGACAAGGGCACCCGCATCAAGGCCATGAGCAGCGACGATCTCCGAAATGAGGTGCTTGAGCGAGTTGTTCAGCGCCTGGATGGAGTTGCTGGTGATATCAGGCGCCGATCGCGCAAGTGTCCGGCCCAAGAGAGGTAGCTCAGCCTCGAGCAAGCGCAACGAGTCGAGGCTCGCATTCTTGATGGAATTAGACTTGGCAAGCAGGGAGGTAGCGAGCTTGCCGTTCCAGACATGCGTCTTTGCGTCTCGAGATGCGAGAAGACCGGTGGAAAGGAGCTTCTGGGCAGAGCCCAAAGCATTGCTGAAGCGGCTCTGGTCGAAAGTGGGCAGATCCGAGGCGACAGCCAAGACCATGTGCTCAGCAGGCAAGGTGGTACCGTATGAAATGGACTGGAGGACCAGGGCTTGGCGGAGGGTCTCGTACTCCGCGGTGAAAAAGGGGCTAACTTCCCTTGACGCAGAGCTGACGCCAGCCTCCAGGGTCTCGATTTCCTTCTTCAGATCCACAATGAGCTGGGACGTGAGAGACGCGTTGCTTCGTACGATCTGGTCAGCGGTGACCAGTGTCGACATGGCGCTGGCAAGATCCGAGATGGAGGTTCGGACTTTCCATCTCAAGGCATCAAACCGGATCGCGAGACGCTCGATATCACGATGCGACTCGAGAGCTTCGGCAGAGAGAATGGCGGCTGGCTTGAGAAGATTCCAGAGGGGCTCCATGCTGAGGCCGGTCTTGAGCTTGAAGCCCGCGTTGAAGTCTTCTTGGATCGCTTGAAGGAAACCGGACGCGAGTGCACCATGAATCGAGCTTTCCTGCACCTTGGAGAGGGCGGCCTGAAGTGACTTGACGCCATGACCGAGATGGGCTTGGAACCTTGCCTCTTCGAAGTGTTGTTGGGTGACGAGTCCAAAAGTTCGCCACCAGAAATCCATCATGTGCCTGATGATTCGAGATTGATCCTATTCTGGTAAGCAGCGGCACATATCCCAATGGTCATGTAGATGGCATACCTTCCAGTCACCAGCATCTTTGACGCTATCCTGAAGAAACTTGAGCGCCGCTCGGAGGACCTTGGTCAGGAACTTGGACACACTGGCTGTCGAATCCTTTGCCACAGCCGCGATGCGGTCCGAAACAACAGAGCGCTGAAGACGGTTCAATGATGCAAGCTTGCCGGCCTTGGCACGCCCAACTTGGGTCTTGAGGATAGATTGGCAACGCTGAAGCTCTAGGATGAATTGGAAGCAGCAATTCAACCAGAACGCCAGGTCACCCGAGGTTCGTTGCAGAAGGCGGGCAATCGGGGCATTCTGAAGCGTAGATAGGGGCTGGAACGGTCAGTAAAAACGACTAGCTACAGTTGAGAGCAGACGGCTTACCTGGGCATGCTGCAGCTCGCTGTGGCTGTCATTAGGCAGGGTAGCGTAAAGCTCAAGGGTAGCCTGTCTAAGCGCGGCAGCCTCGTCTGTTGTGAGGTAGTTCGAGATTTCCTCGAGATTACTGCGGTACTTCTCGAGTGCCTCAGAAGGTAGTCCCATCAGAGTCTGAGTCAAGGCGCCAGAATATCGGGGAACCAGAGGCGTGTCTTGCACGGAGAGGTTATCGAGTGTCAGGCTGCCAATATCCACAAAGTTTTCGCTCTGCAAGGTTGCCGCGGAGATGTCTCTAGACATCTGCAGCCTTCGGAGGTTGCTGTCGACGTCGGCACCCGTCTGGTGGGAAATCTTCATGCCATCGTAGCTCACTGAGGTGATCTCAATAGCACGGTGCGCATGGCTCGGGACAGCTCTCATAGCGGGAGTCGACTGTCAAAAAGATTCGGAACTCGGGGTGAGGCTTGATCAGTCTTGGTTCGCCATCGGGTCCACAATGCTCGTTGATGCTGAGGAAGCCATTCGGCTCGAGCAGCGAGTTGAGTCTGTCCAGAACAGAAGCATTGCAGAGGTTTGCGTTGTCGAGCACCAACCACTGCCCAGTCTGCAGAGCCTTGACAATGACACCATCGAGCCATTCGAATCGAGGGTCGGTGGCTTCAAGTGGCTTCTGTAGGAGTTCGAAGACGTTGGTGAGGAGGGCCGCGATCTCGGTGGTGGGAGAGACCTCGGAGAGAACAGTCTGTACTGATGCTGCGATGGCCTCGAGCGCATCAAGGTTGCCTTTGTAGCCCTCAAGCGCATGGAGTAGCGACAGCGCTTCAAGAGGTACCTGTGCTGGGACTTGCGACAGAACAGAGACCTCGAGGGTCTCGTGCAATGCTCTCAGAGCAGCGTTTAGCTCGCGCAGGGGGTCCGCTTGCTCGAAGCCGCCAACGAGATCCATGGTGTCGATGTCTGCGTTGAGCGGAAACACTACGAGGGACTTGCCGGCAACCGCAGCAACGTGCTGAAGAAGAGCTGATTTGCCGCTGCCCGAGGGCCCACCGACGATGCAGGGGATATTTTGCTTGACACAGATCATCACGGACTCGATCTCGGAAAGTCGAGGTACGACGTTGATGGCGGGCAGCTTTGACGGTTGCGACAGCTGGTTGCGGGCGATGAGAGCATTTCCGACCTGGCTGAAAGCCGTGCTGATGTCATGGTATAGGCTGTGGTCGTGAGGCTGCCTGCCAAAGATGCTGGCGAATAGGTTGTCCACCTCTTTGCGATCCAGATTCGACCGGAAACGCTGGCGGACGATAAGGCCGAGGAAATCATCGACGGTGCCCGTGCTCAGCAGAGGGTCCTTCGAAGCTAGCAGGTTCAACCATCGCAGTATATCACGAAGGTTGAACTCCCAGGGGCCACCTTGCAGGCCAAAGGACTTCTCGATAACGATCTGGTGGTCCAGCTTGGTAATGAAGCGGATTACTCCGCGAGTGACGTCCGAGGGAATATCTGGGAAGCTGTGACGAGCGATAAGGAGCAGATCCTCTTCCGTCAAGACGTCGGCGTAAACAACGATGAATCGATTGACAAAGGAGCTCGGCAGACCCTTTCGGCCACCACCTTGGTGATGCGGGTTCTGTGCCGCGAAGAGGCGGAAGTCGGGATGTTTGTGGAAGACCTGGTCGAGCTCGGAAATGTACACCTCACCACGATGGTCAAGACAGGCGTTGAGGCCTTCCAGCACTGATTGTGAAGCAAGGTTCATCTCGTCCAGAAGAACCCACTCACCCCTTTGCATGGCTTGAAGGAAAGGGGCATCCCTCCAGGCGAAGTTGCCAGCCTCGGCGCCTTCTACGGGCATGTCGGTACCGAACAGATCCATGAGATCAGTCTGGTCAGACAAGTTGATCCTCGTCAAAGGGCGACCGCATGTGGAAGCAAGGGCGGCAACGAGGGTGGTTTTGCCGACACCAGGGCTGCCTTCCAGCAGGATGGGCTTCTGCATCTGAAGCGATCGAAGGACGCGCATCAGGTTCAGACGTGTGGTAGGAGCATTGAACGCGATGGTGGGATCGATTGCTACTCCTGGTTCTCGGGCAATCTCGAACTGGCCCAGAGACAGCGTGTTGGCGTCCATCGTCACTTCAGGCTGCGACCGGTAGATTTTCGTGGCATCGCATTTCAGAAGCTCGCTCAGTTTGTCGAGACACTGTTGTCGCTGGGCTTCCATTGACTTGGGATCCATGGCCAGCAGTGCTGAAGGATTGGCTCCTAGGGTATCAACGAAAACGGTGGCGGCACCATGAACAACAGCAAAGTCGGGGTTGACGGAACCGAAGTGGTTGATAAACTTGACCCAGAGAAGAATGTCTCGAATCGAATAAGCGGCAGAGTGAGACGATCGGAAGGTCTCTCCGAACCAGGCTGAGAAGTGAACGATGGTACTGCCAAAGTTCCGCAATGTGGTGTCCAGCTTGGATCGAACGATCTGTAGGACATCCTCTCGGTCAGAAAGTGACGGAACCCAAATTTCGGTGAAACGATTCCTCAAAGCAGGGGACAGTTCCTTCTTGCCGAAATCGCCACCTGGATTCATCGTCGCAAGGAACTGGAAGCCGTTGCTCGCAGTGACAAATGAGTTGTCGATGCCTTTCTCAGCGAGAAGTAGGGTGCGCCCAGGCTCGAGTACCGAGTTCAACCTCTCAAGGACAGAATCGTCGGCAAGCGAGATCTCGTCAAGGAGGAAAAAGTCACCAGACTTCATTGAGTTGACAAGACTGCCGTCGGACCACTCGAAAAGCGCTTTGCTCTTCGTCTCCAGAGCAGTAATGCTCTCCAGCACGGCCGCGTCCACAGTCGACAAGACATCTGCAGGCAGCTCGCGATAGGCCTGCATGAGCTCGTCAAAGCTACCGGAAGAAGGCTGGCCAACGCGACTGAGGAGTGTGGCCAACTCCGATTTCAGTGTATCCGAAATTGCGCCTCGGTTACGAACCGGCCGTTGGGAACCGATAAGGTCGCCAGTCTCGGTGTTCTGGTGAGCGTTGACAATGTGAAGCTCCTTTCTCAACGCCTCGGCAAGCATTTGGCAAACGGTCGTCTTGCCACAACCTGTATCGCCAACCAGCAGCACGGGCTCGTTGTTGCGGAGTGCGTAGTCGACCAGGGTGTAGAGACGTCGCATGGCCCCTGTCCACACCACGC